TTGTTGTTGTTGTTGTTGCTGCTGTTGCTGTGGCTGTTGCTCGGTTCGCACACGTTTTCGACTTCCTGGACCTTCATTCTGGGTACTTGAACCACCATCACTAGCTGCTGAACTGATCACATTGCTGTACGGATCGATCTGATAGCCGTTGCTCTGGATCAGATAACCACCGCTATTCACCTGTCGCATATTAACGGTTGGTGGCGAAACCTGCAAAAAAACTCCAGGAATGGCATAACAATCCTTCTAAATATATTAGAGCCTAAATCCTCCAATGCTGCGTAATAAACGATATCCTCAAACAGTTCTAACTTAACGAGTTTCGCAGCAACATTAGTCAAGGAGCAATCAATCTTTCATCTGATTTAATTTCTCGTAGCTTGCAGAAGCTCTAGCCATTTGATTCAGTGGGTACTTAGCAGAGAAAAGAATTTCTATGCGATAAGACGGAGTCGAAAACTATTTTTTTTTGGCTCGCAAAATCTTAGGAAGAAATTATCAACGATCTGCCTGCTGTTTTCTAACTATTCTTTTTTTTTCAGCACCAACAGAATAACAGAACTCCTTGGTGAACAGCAACCCAGAGGGAAACTGAATTCCGAAGTAATTACAGCAAGTTCGTTAACGCTCATGCAAATGGGAGACAAATCCCCATAATTAGTAAAATACCATAACCTTTCGATGGAAACCGACAACGGCACAAAATTATTTCTCACAACCTGAGCAAATGCAACTTTCCACACTTTCCAGAGTATCAGTTTTCGAAAACGATACTTTTCAATTCCACACAGTGGAAGCGTGCTGGGCCTATAACTCAAAAGTCGGTGGGACGAAACCACCCGCTGTCACCAAAAAACTGCTGATTCTGGTACCGCATTTGAATTTATCGATGATTGAAGGAAACAGTGTGGATGTTAGGCTGGGCCAGAAACGAAAGATACTCTATAGTATGGGGCATTGACACTTAACAAGATGGGTAGTCGACGAATCACCAGTACTGGTATGAACCGATCGGTTGATGGAAGGCACTCAGACGGTAGTCACTCACTGAATACCACCGTTACCACGAAAATTAGTGGTAACCCACAAGCTGTGGAACGATGAATGATTGCATGTTAAGAGACTGTAGCCCATTCTTGTCGCTGATTACAGCTCAAGTCCGACGCGTTCGATGTAGTTAAAGCAATGTAAGGGAAAAATAAAAATAATAGGATTAGCTGATATTTTTAATGAATAACTTGAAATAAAAAGAACCTGTGGTAACGCGGACGGTGTCGACTGTGGTGGGTAGCCGCTTCCAGCACTGATAAAATCGGATTGCGGTGATGGTAAAGCATGTTGCAGGATGCGACTGCCCAGATGGTTCTGCTGGAGGAGCTCTTGCGGTACCAGCATGTG